GGGAGAGACAGAGAGAGAGAGAAAAAAATGAGGGAGAGAGAGGAGAGAGAGAGAGAGAGAGAGAGAGAGAGAAAATGAGGGAGAGAATGAGGGAGAGACAGAGAGAGAGAGAGAGTGAGGGAGAGAATGAGGGTGAAAATGAGAATGAGAGATAGAACAAGGGAGAGAATGCGGCTCTGTTCACATATGGGCAGTTTGAATAGCGGACAGAACCGCCGCAATTCTGCTCACAATTTCAAAATGCTCTGCTAGAATGACAAATCGCACAGCGCAATTTTCAGACTCCATTCATTTTAATGGCACTGAAAACCATGGTGTGGTCATTCTGCGATTGTTGTGTGATAAATTGCACAAGCTTCTTTTGAGCAACAATCTTCGTGCGACGCAGTTTGCTGTGATTGCAATGTGATTTATTGCGTGAATGCCACCTGAAGTTTGCAGTGTGCGATTTTTCATTTTAGCAGAGCATTTTGAAATCGTGGCAGTTCTGCCTGTGATTCAAAAGGTCCATATGTGCCCTTAGCCTGAGAGAGGGAGAGAACAAGAGAGAGACGGAAGGGAGAGAGGAGGGTGAGAAGGAGGAAGAGAGAGACAAAGAAAAGAGGGGAGTGGAGGGGGGTAGGGGTAGAGAGAGGAAAGGAGGAAGAAGGAGCAGAGCAAAAATGGGTGGAGGGGAGAGGAGGCTGTTCTGGGTGCAGAAGGCTCACTCACCAATTATGCCTCCCCCCTTCAGGCTGGTCTGTCCCAGGATTGTGGTAACTGCTATTGTTTTTAAAACTGCCGCCCAACTGCCCATGGCATTCCTTTCTTAGTGCATTGCATGCTGGTGGCTGGAGTGTGGGAGGGGTTGGGTGGACACAAATGGGAGGCAGATTCTTGGATTGGACCAGCAGCAGAGTGAGGGAGGAGCTAGGAGGACAGTGGAGACAGCATAACAGGACTGGAGATGGAGCAGCCCGACTCCCGTGCATGCTGCTTTATCACTATGCCTGGCTGCCAATGGCTGTGGACGACAGAAGCTAGATGGGTATAGCCGCTCTCCACACTGTCCAGTCATGGTGTCTGGGGGAGAAGCTGCACACACAAACTCCACATCCTTCTCCTCCTCCAATTCCCTTGATGGCGGCCCTGCTTGGGACACACTCGCCCCCACGGTATTTCTACTCGCCAAATGTGAGCAGGTGAGTGGAAATTCTGAGACCTGCCTTACTGCATAGAATGCGCTAAGGTAGAACACCTTCTTCCTTTAAAACCACTTTAAGCATGTTAGGTGCCATGGCAGTACTGCACACCTCCCAAAAGTCCCAGATTATGTGGGACTGTCCTGCATTTTCATCCTACTTCCGCTGTCCCATGTACAGGGCTGTGTCCAACAAAGACTCTGCCCCTGTATACTATGCCCACAGCTAATTTTTTGCAAATTACAATGAGATTTGCATATGAACAAGTTGGCAGCAGGATGTGCATATGAATGAGCTTCACTAACAGAATAATATGCAAAGCTGAGGGAAACTGTACTGAAGGGCTCTGCACAAGAGGGGGCCTATAATGGTGGAGAGGGAGGAAGTCTGTACTGGTGGTCTATGGTAGCCATGATTAAAGCCCACTGAGGGCTGAAAAGTGTAAGCTGCTTGCTTTCTGGATCTTTTACCCTTGCCTATATTAAATGAATGGCTTTTATGCTATGAAGGACCCAAGTTACTGATTGCATTTGAAACTTCCTCGCTGGCTTGTGGAGCATGTTGATCAGTCACCAGAGGATAGTCTTTCCTGCCAAATTGAATTAATGGAGTTGTAGCACAATTCACGTTTTGAAGGAAGGGGTCTGTACTGGAGGGGGAGTCTGTACTGGAGGGGGAGTCTGTACAGGAGGGGGATTCTGTACTGGAGGGGGATTCTGTACTGGAGGGGGAGTCTGTACAGGAGGGGGAGTCTGTACAGGAGGGGGAATCTGTACTGGTGGAGAGAGAGGCATTCGTACTAAGAAGAGGCTGGGAGGGGGGGTCTGTGTTGTGGATGTTGTCTGTACTGGGAAGGGCTTGAAGAGAGGGTTTGTGCTGGAACGGGTCTAGGGCTGTGGGGGAATATCTGTACCAGATGGGGAATTGGGGCTGTGCGGGAAGACCTATATTGGGCAGATATGGGCTTGGAGGAGGGGGATTTTGTTTGTACTCTGTACATTACATACTCCTGAATCCTGTACTTTGTTCAATAACCACTCCTGATCCCTGCACTCGGCGCATTATACATTTCTGAAGCCTGCACTCTGTGCGATAACAACTCCTGATGGCTTCACTCTGTGCATTACGTACACCTGCTTCCTGCAGTGTATTAAACATTCCGGATCCCTGCATTGTGTGTGTGATATACTCCTGACCTCTCCACCCTATGCATTGTGCACCCTTGACCATTCAGAAAGCGCAGCGCTACTCGCGCATGCGCAGTGGGCACCTGGCTGTGAAGCCGCAAGCTGTCACAGCCGGGTGCCCACACTGGATGGCAGGTGAAACAGACTTATTCTTTTACAGTTTGACTGGAGCTCCGCTTTAAGGTAGGCTGTGTGCAGAAAGGTGGATCTAATGGAATGGTTTCATTTTCAACAGTGAGTGTGTTGAGTGTTGTACATGTCTGTTAATATGTCTGTTAGACTCTTGCTTGTGACACAGTTGTTAAAACATATTTTGGAGATAAAAAATGTGTTTGCTGTGTATACAGTGAGTAGCCCCAACAGGCGTTGCAGTATGCAGTGGAATGGTCAGTGTCAAATGATGCTTTCTAAATATTTTATGTTAATTGTGTTTGCAGTGTAACTGGTGCTTACCACTCTGTTCTCTGCAAGAATTGTTGGGTTGTTGCACTATAAATACACAGTATGAAAAGTTGTAGCTAGCTAAAAAAATCATACATAACCTTATTAATGAACAATATTTTCTTGGATGTGTTTCTGTCCTTAATATGCTAAATCTTTTCAAAGCCAGGTGAGACCCTTCTTACAACTGTTGTAGGTATAGCTTTAACCACTTGCCCTCCAGAGGATTTACCCCCCTTCCTGACCAGGCCATTATTTGCTATACGGCGCTATGTTACCTCTAACTAACAATTGCGCAGTCATGCAATGCTGTACATAAATGAAATTTATGTCTTTTTTCCCCCACAAATAGAGCTTTCTTTCGGTGGTATTTGATCACCTTTGCTTTTTGATTTTTTGCGCTATAAACAAAAAAAGACCGACAATTATGAAAAAATAACTATTTTGAAATTTTTGCTATAAAACATATCCAATGCAAAAAAATTTAAATCAAATTTCTTCATAAATGTAGGCCAAAATGTATTCTGCTACATGTCTGTGCTAAAAAAAAAAATCCCAATAATTGTATGTTAATTGGTTTACGTGAAAGTTATAGCGTCTACAAATGGAGGTATACATACTGGAATTTTTGTTGTTTTTTTTATACTAGTAATGGCAGTGATCAGCAAATTATAGCGAGACTGCAGCAGGCATTTTGACACTGGGTGGGAACTGACTTACTGCCATCCCCAGTGACACTAAAACAGTGATCAGTACTAATAAAAAGCACTGACACTGTACTAATGACACTGGGCAGGAAGGGGTTAACATCTGGGGAGATCAAAGGGTTAACAGTGTGCTATGTGGTGTTAAGAGTCTGCTGTGTGTGTGTTTTACATTGTGTGCATATGTTGTGTTTTACTAGGGAGACATGCTGCTTTGTATTTCTCTGCTGTGCAGAGAGATGCAAAGCAGCATGTCCATTCTGACAGGAGAGAGACCTGTGTTGTTTACACACAGGTCTCTCCCTTGTCAGTTTTGCCGACTATCACTGAGTCCTGGCCAGGCATCGGCGGCTGGGACCCGGTGATTGACATCCCCAGTCGCCAATAGGGGCGCGGGTAGGGCAGTGGTATATTTAGGTTTCATGCTGCCCTAGGCAACACAAAAATTGGCTCCTTTCCCCCCCACAGACTCTGGCACCGACCAACACCCCCTCCCCCACAAAGAGAGCCTGACATTGACCAACAACACCCCAGCCCCACCCCCACCCGAGAGAGCCTTCCACTACCACCGCCCCCCGGCAAGAGATGAGACACTCACCTTCACAGCTCTGGACATCCCCAGGAACAAGAGTCAGGCTCTGCATACACCATCAAGCAGCCTGCAGCTCCCACCTGGTCCCTGTGCTGCGTGTGTCCCTTCTTCCATTCCTTCTTTTGGAGGACGGCACTGCCCCCCTAAAAAATGCTGCTGCCACCCTGAAAAATGCCACCCTAGGCAAATGCCTTGTTTGCCTTGTGGTAAATACACCCCTGGGGTAGGGCAGCACACGCACTCCCTACCCAGAAATGCAAATCACGAATATATATGTGATTTTGTGCAGCCGTGCCGCCCTGTAGCAGTACTTTTGCTATAGGGTGGATGGTAAGTGGTTAAACTACACTCATATTCATGCTTACTTTTGGCTGGGCACACCTTTTTGCAGAGGTGCTCTATGTGCTCCACATTCTGCCCATTTTGAAAAATTCATGCTCTTTTTGTCAAGTTCAAAAGTTGAGAGGTATGTTACAGTCTTGTAATGGAATGACACACAGCATGTGAACCACACAAAAATACCAATTCTTGGCATCACGGCACCACCCGCCTGGAGTTTGCATGTTCTCCCTGTGCCTGCGTGGGTTTCCTCTGGGTACTCTCTCACTTTCCAATGAGGATAATACGTTAGAGTTTTGTTTTACCACTGGCAGATTCTGCCACCAGTAGCAAGTACTTCTCCTTCTTCCTCTTCTGCTTCAGAACTCTTCCTCTATATTGTCCAATCAGTGTGTCAGAAAAGTGTGCAAACCCCTCACCAGTCATCCCCTCCACTCGGATGTGCATGTCATTTTGCTTCCACCAGGCCCCTGCAGCCCTCCCTTCATGGATCTTTGCATTCTCACTACCAGTCCTCAGAGATTCTGTACTCCTTCCAGTTATAGATTACTAGCCATTGTATTATGACAACCAGCATCTGTGGCTGTCAGAATATCCCAACAATGGCTACCTCTAATTGGAGGCAGGTGATTTTCCACACAGCTCCTTGGAGCAGGGGCGGACTGACCATTTGGAAACTCGGGCACTGCCCGAGGGCCCGGGGTCAGTAGGGGGCCCCATGAGATGCCCCTGGTACCTTTTTCATAGGCTTTTTTGAGTTTGGGCAACAACACAGGGGCCCCATGATCCCCTATTGCCCGGGGGCCTTATGAGTTGTCAGTCCGCCTCTGCCTTGGAGTTTCAAATTGAAGGATATTGAGTGGGGAGGTGCAGACAGGACCACCCATGACTTGAATTTTGTCTGGTTCATCAAGAACAGGCCAAATTTTACTCCATGTATGGTTAGCTTTAGGCCCCTTCTACAAAAAGAGGAGCTAAAAACAGTTGGTTCATCTGCATGGTCAGGGGGTGTTAAAAATGCAGATGAACCACCTGTTTTTACTGCCCCTTTTCTGCTTATATAAAGTCACGCATACATGGAGTGAATTATGGCCAGTTCCTGATGAACCAGACAAAAGTGACAAAAATGAGCCTCCAATGGCAGCCGAAGAGGCCAAATGCTAGGCCACAATGTTTTGCCTCACAGCAGCAGGAAATGTGACTCAGCTTGTCAAGTTTGACAGATGATGCCACTTGTCAAACGCGGCCATTAAGGTCAATGGAACTGCACTGCAGCCACGATCCAAAAGTTCTCTCAATACAAAATACCCTTTGGGATTGAAAAAAAAAAAAAAAACACATTTAGGAGGTAGCAGGATGACCTATTGAAAGCCTTGCAGCTGCTAGTCTACTACCAGTAGTGACTGCCACCCACATTAAGGAGGCCCTAGGCAGTCTATCAACCCCTCCTTTCGGAAATATTGGCAGTGTGATCGGGGTAACTGGCAGATCCTGTGTGGAGAGGGAGTGATCCTATCAGAATCTAGGCTGGCTGGCAGCATCTCTATAGTTGCTGCTTAGTCCATCCTTCTCTTGCATAATCATTTAATCCCCCTCCTACCTACTATCACCCAACCCCCCCCTACAATGTCAGTCAGCCCCCCTTACATCACCCAACTTTGCCCTACTGCAATGTCAGCTAGCCCTCCCTCCACACTTCTAACCAACCCTTCCCTACTTCAATATCGCCCAATTCTCCAATCATCCAATGACAGCCAGCCCCTTCACCATCATCCAACCCCCTTCCTGCAATGTCAGCCACCACAGCCACTCTATTATTACCCCTCAGACATTTACCCTTATTGCACTCTTAACCACACACACACCTTCCTGAACCATAGCTACAGATCCCCCTGATTCCGCAGCCCTGTTTTCCTCAGTTCCCACTGTGCCATACCCCATTCATTTAGAAAACACTGCGCCTGCAGCTTTCGTTTTCTCAATATTCAATGTATCCTCTCCCTTTCTCTCAACCCTCCGTGCATGTATCCCCTTTCTCTCAGCAGAACCTACCACACTTGAAGCTATATTTCTCTCACCACCTACTATGCCTGTAGCCCCTCTTTACCACCACTCACCATACCTACATCCCTGCTCTCTCAGCACCCACTTTACCTGCAGCCCCCCTCTCTCAGTACCCAATTCGTTTTCTCGGCACCCACTGCACCTGCAGCTTCCTTTTGTTACCTCTTCTCTTACCTCCTTGCATGTCTACATCTCCCCTTCTTTCTCTGCCCTCTTTATTTGCAACCCCTCTTCTGTCACCACCCACCATGCCTCCACTTCCTTTTCTACCACTGCACCTGTAGTCCACTTTTTACCACAATACCTGTGCGTGCTTTCCCCCATGCTCACCAACCCATCTGCCTCCCCTTCCACCCCATATCTATACTCACCGGCCAATTTATTAGGTACACCTTGCTAGTGCCAAGAAAATATCCCCCCCCACCATTACACCACCACCAGCAGCCTGAACTGTTGATACAAGGCAGGATGGATCCATGCTTTCATGTTGTTTACGCCAAATTCTGACCCTACCATCTGAATGTCACAGCAACCAGTCTGCCCATTTTCCTCTGACATCAACAAGGCATTTTCATCCACACAACTGCCGCTCACTGTATATTTTCTCTTTTTTGGAACATTCTCTTTAAACTTTAGAGATGGTTGTGTGTGAAAATCCCAGTAGATCAACAAATTTTGAAATACTGAGACCAGCCCGTCTGGCACTAACAACTATGCCATGTTCACTTACATCCTCTTCCTTCCTCATTCTGATGCTCAGTTTGAACTTCAGGTCGCCTTCACCACATCTACATGACTAAATACATTGAGTTGCTGCCACGCGATTGGCTGATTAGCAATTTATGTTACCAAGCAATTGAACAGATGTACCTAATAAAGTGGCCGGTGAGTGTATATGTTCCCTGTACAACTTTCACCAATGCACCTATAGCACCACTCCTAAATTATCACTCAATGCTTGCATACATACCATCTTCTCTGCTCCCACCATCGTACCTGCACACTGTCCCCCTGCTCTCACTTCTAAGCCAGCGCCCTCACCCTACTCCCAACATCATTTGATCCACATAATCCACCCAACACCTAGCTCTCAACAAAACACTTTCCTTCCATTTCCCACTATGCCCCACACCCCTCTGCTCTCACCACCATATGGATGTTTATTTTCCAATAAAGTCAAGCCACATTTTTTTTTTCATTTTGGATACAGTAAGGGCAGATTATCAACACTGTTGTTTTTTTGTTTTTGTTGTCTGTGTCCCCACACTTGTCTTTGCAATCGTTGTCAATCCATTGTCAGAATACCAAATTTTCAGTTGTTACCAGAATAGAAATAAATCTTCCAATGGGAATGACTGCTGCAGGCACAAATCTCCAAGAAGGGAGTTCCCGCTCTTTAAAGAGATTTGCTTTCACTTCTTGATATGTCTAGATGACACGAATTGAACTGAAATCTCCCTAATGGTACACAAAATACAAAAAAAAAAATCTGATCCCTAAGCTAGTTAAAAGGAACACGTTTTGGTTTTAGATATGCTCTTTGCACAAAAGGAACCATGAACCAGACCAGAATACTGTTTTTCAGTATCATTGCTTTTTTATTACATTCGATTACATACATATACTTAACAAAGGAGGCTGGATAGTTCTGATGATAATTATAAAGTATATAACATACATTTCACATTGTAACCAAATATTGATCCTCATCAATCCCATAGCAACCTTCTGATTAATAAATAAAATTTGTGGTTGAAACAGCATATTAAACATGTCTAGGCAGGTAACGCACTTGTGTCATAAGTGTGGTTGCTGTTGCAAACATATAATCATGGGTGAAGTTTTATAATGCTGGCCTCTCCTGTTTTTATATTCCTTAAATAATTTTAGAAAGATATTGACAATGGGGGAACAGATATTCAGATCAGTGGTTAGACTACAATGATCTCCTTTGTTGTAATGGTGGTTGTTGTAGTGGTACTGGTAATATTATTTTCATTGATGGTATTTGTCTCAGTAATGGTACTGGTTTGTGGTGGTTTACTTAAATAAAGTGCAGGTTGGAAAGGTTGCTGATTAGGAACAGTTGTTACATTGCTTGAAATCTGGGGAGCAGGGTTGTTAGTAAATGTAACAGGATTATCCTTTACAATGGTAATCTTGGTGTAAAATGGTGTGACTGAGTTGTTACTATTGGTGCTAATAGAGAAGTTACTAATGGTCTTTACTTCAGTGTTAACTGAATTAGTTTCATTAACCTCCAAGTGGGTTGGGGGTTGGGGGGTAGTTGTTGGAGTTGTGGTTGGTGTTGTGGTGGGGGGGTTGTGGGGGGGAGTTGTGGTTGGTGTTGTGGTGGTAGGGGTTGTGGTGGGAGTTGTGGTTGGTCAAATGGTAAGGGATCTGAAATAAAATAAAACAAACTGTGTTACTGAACAGTCTTAAAATAACATATATTAGGAAAAAACAGAAATGTCATACAGTTAGCTATAATTCTGAGTAAAATGCAATGTGACAAGCTCCAGCCTGAAATACTGATATGCACATAGCAAACTAGATATGTATTATATGTATTGCATTTACAGCTGTATAATTTTTCTTTAAACCATTTGTGATCAGTAACAATAGCCTTACAATATAAACCACTTAAAGCAGAACTATTCCAAAAAGAAAGCCAAGTTCTAAATGTTCAAAAAATTCTAAATCCTCAATCCCCCTTCCTACCACGCATACACATATATGTGGTCTCCTGGAAGTAGGTCTTCTTCCATGGGGAGGCATATGCGCAAGTGTGTTCGTGCTGAGCTGCCACTACACAGCATGCCCCCCAGCACAGAAATTGAACTGTCAGTGACAGCTTAAACTAATGATCGAGAGTTCAGAGGACCGGCTCGCGACCACATAATGACTATGACAGCATGTGATTGGCTATCACAGTGATCACTCACGCCATAGACTACTCCTATGATGTCCCACCCCTTGAATGGAGAAACAGGTACACTATATTTTTTTTCTCCTTGCTAGAGGAGAAGTTTGTAAACATAAAAAAAAAGATTTGTAAAAATATATTATAAATAAAGATAAAATTGCTAGATCAGGGTTTGATCTAGATAAGGTCAAGGATAGGGTCATATGGCCAGAGTCATAGGTCAGGGTCAGTGTGTTTTAGGTAGGTGGGCCCTTGGTACAAACAACAAATAACATACACATATATAGTATTGCTGCAATTGTTAGAAGCAGGGGAATCTGTTTGGGGCTGTTCTTTGGTAGTAGGCTATGGTAAAAGCTAAAATATAAAGCTACATTTTTTACTCTTTGGGGTTAGTTTTTCTTTGATAAAAAAAAGTCAGGAGATATCCCATTACCATTTACCACAAATTGAAAGCCCAATTAGTCCTGAAAAAAACAAAGTCCTAGGAATCTGCCTCTCTCTGCCCAGTAATGATTAAGGCCATAGAAAGATAAGAGAAAAACAAGAAACCAATTGAGTAGACACATATCAGTCATAAAGGCATAAGACAGCTGTGATCATTAGTCTATAGCAGGAGTCTCCAAACTTTGCTAG